TATGTATGTATGTATGTATACATCTTATTCATGTATTTATATATTCAATTTACTATATTTTTTAGCACTCGCACATTATACATATATGTATGTATGTATGTATGTATATATATATAGATATAATACAGAGAGAGGCACATGGATCCTTACAAACTGTAGAATGTAGTAAGTTTTTTGGTGGATTACCTGCGGGATGGTTAGGACCCTTTTTCTGCGAAAATCAACCAGCTAACAAAAAACTGGTACGTTGTAGTTCAGCACCATACGAAACCTGGTAAACCCGAACCCATACACATGCTACGGCAGTACATGCAAAGCAGTACCTTCGAAAAGGCTGGGCAGGCTTTATACTAAGGATCGTAAACCCCCCCAAAACCCTAAGAACGATAATTAAGGTCGACGAGACCAAAAGCTTGAAAAGGTTGAGGATTTGCTGTGCGAGGGATCGTGCCCCCGGTAAAGAATCGCCGGCCCATCCAAGATTTGGCGTTCATCAGGTAAGAGTACCTTGCTTGCAGCACGTGTGTCTCTTTGCTTTTTGCCAAAAGGAAGCGCCCTTTTGACCGGGCTTCAATTTTTGGCGCTTTTGAAGGTTACGAACGGCTCAAATGGTTCGGAATACGCAATTGAAGTTTCGGATTTTGGTGTTGGGGTTTTTGGGTTTGGGGTGCCTGTGTCTAGGGGATTGGGAGTTGGTGTCCGTCTGGCGGAATACAGGGAGAGCTGTGGAGATGCGTGGCATGTGTCATCTATACATACGGCCCAGGTACTCCCTGTGGCCCAGGATTTGCACAAAAAAGCGGCCATCGGGCGCCAGGACCTTTGCAATGCGGGCAAAGAGGGCCTGGTAGTTGCGCGAGTGCTCCAGGCTCTCACAGGCGAAAATACGGTCGTAGAGAGGGAGCCCACCCCGCTCCTCCAAAGCTGTTGCTGACAGCGCATTGATGTCCATCTTTAGCGCTGTGAGATTCGTCAGGCCGCGGCGACTGGCCTCACCAGTGATGTGGGCGATCTGTGTGCTAGAGTTGGAGAAGCACACGAACGTGGTCTTCGGAAACCGCTCAGCCGCATAGAGGCTGAAACTTCCCCAACCACAGCCGATGTCGAGCACACGTTGACCGTCAGCCACGCCCAGCAACTCGGCATACTTGGCAAGCGTGTGAGTCTCGGCCTCTGCCAGTGTTGCATCTGGGCCAGGCCACTCGCAGCTTGAGTACTTGAGGCGTGGGCCGAGAGAGCTAAGGAAAAAGGGAGTGGGCACTTCGTAATGCTGTTCATTTGCTGCCGCCGTCTCGAAGGCAATTTCCTCAGAGGCCAACTGCTTCACCCTCGAGACGAGGCGAAGCTCTTTCCTTACTTGCTGAGCAACCCATACATTACAAGTTGTTCTGCTTCTTCTGATTCCTAGTAACTACATTATGTAGCTACTATTGCTGAGACTGTATTCCGATTAGTTCAAAAAACATAAATTCGATTGTTCTGCGTATGATCATCGTTATTGAATTATTATTAAACTAGGCCTTAGGCCTGCATTTTCTATTGTTTAATCCGATTGCTTGCAGTAGGACATACACTATCCAACGCGACAGCTAAATCAAGATCAACTTGAACCCGGGACGCCAACATCCCGAAAGCTTTGACACATCTACCACCACCTCTATGCCCAAACCCAACACCATAGCTCTTTATAGGGCCCATGGTTTGCTTATGGTGTTTAAAGTTTGAAAGGCGAGTGGACCCCCAAGGTAGAGAAATGCTCAGCATCCAAGTTTCTGCGGCCAGCGCAGCCTCCAGAGCTGCCTCAGTGCATGGCCAAGGACGATGCGCACCAGAAAGCGCACCAGCCAGTCCGGCAAGAGCGGCTGAAGGTAGCTGACGAAGAGCTCCAGGGCATCCTCCATACCCATCTTTCGCGGCAAACAGGGCCTCCCCAAAGCAAAGAGTAGAAGGGCTTAAAGAGTCCTTGTGCTCCGACCCGGACAAGAGCCGAAACCTTCGAAGATAGAGGGTTTTTGGGGTTTAGGGCGAGATGCCACAGCTCGCACTCGCGGCGGCAGGAAAGCTTAGTACAATAAAAAAGGTTGCGATGCTGATGTGTACCTGTAATTGCGAAAGACCACAAGGAAAGTGCAACTTTATGCGACAAGGTCGTGGGAATTGGCTTCCAAGGAACGGCCGGTAAGTCGAAGAACTTTCCAGGAAAGCTACGACCCAATTCGCACACTGTGCGAAGATTGACTACCTTGTCCCCAGATTCTGGGATTGAAGCCCTCTTTTCTCCTTGACTCCTGCCAAGGCTCCCGTTGGAAAGGTGCTCCCGAAATACCTTCTTGTTCTCGCCGGCGTCCTCACAGTGAATGCACAAGGCTTGGAATTAGGCTTTGGGTTTGGGTAACCTCGCAAGATTTAGAGATCAGGACCCTTGAATCAGAGGTTTTCAGGGTTCTGGCTGTAGGGATTAGACTAAACTAGATGGGCACTAAAGGCTTCGCCCCATGCATAATCCACAGCTTCCTTCTGCCGCATGCTGTTCCATCCCCGGAATTGAACACAGAAGAAGTGTCTTGTCAATTTAAGTAATCCGGTGCATGCTGCGGTTGAAACTAGGCTCAGATGGCGCTATTGCAAGGTTATTCATTCTTCCACCAACAGCTGCTGATGGCTATGCTTAGTTGTTGATCGCTCGATCGTGCTACTACTGCCAAAATCCCTCGGGCATAGGCGATGTGAGTGGGGCCCCTTTCGTTATTTAGGATGTTTCTGCATAGCCCTTGAGGGCACACAATTGAAATTTGTCGGCAACAAATGGTCGGTAAGCAATTAAGCTACCGAAACCCAATGGCACCTAACATAGTCTGCTCCAGTCCCATATGAGGGTTTCCGAAAATAGGGGACCGTAATATAGCACCCTAAATAGTAGGATCCTTATAAGAAAGGACCCCAAAAGAAGGTACCCCTAAGTTTCGGAAAGTCCCATATTACTTCAGCTTCGCTTTCTCCAATCACAACGGCGGCAAAGCCAAGCCCGGGCCTCCACCGGCAGAGCTTTTGCAGGAGATGTGGGCTGGCCCCCCGATGCCTGAAAAGAGCATCAATACTACGACGACGACTACTACTACCACTACGACGACGACTACTACGGAGCGAACCAGCCGTAAAATGATAAGGTCCCACCAGCTTTCCCAAGGCTTCGGAGAGCTACTGTGCTCACTTCAGTCTAGAAGCGAAAACCGAGCTCCCTCAATCCCAAACCCAAAGCTCCTAAACCCTACAGCCTAAAGTCAGCACAGCAGGCTGTGTCTTGTCGATCTGCTGCTTCTTGCCATTACAGAGCCCAAACGGCAAATGCCCCCAGACGACTTTCTGTATCGTCCATTTTGGCTGAGTACTCGGCCGCCTATGGTCATTTTGAGTTTTGGGGCTTTCTTGAGATCCTGTTCACGCGTCTTGTTAAGAATGATACAACACGACCCAAGCCATCCACCCCAAAACTCCTCCTCCTGTCTTCTTCCTTCCTTAATCGAGCCTGAGGTTCTTCCGGGCGGACTTCGCACATGCGGCCTAAACTTCTAAACCCCTCTTTCTTTCGCAACTGCAAGGGCTCATGGGGCATAAACGTGCCATGCACACAGACCCAGCTCATAGCCCCATACCCTCGATCCAGAAACCAGGGCCAAAGGCTGCCGCCTAACTGCCACAAACCTTAAACCCTAAAGCGCCTGGTGCAATCTGTCGGGGAGTCCGAGCGGAATGGAGCCTGCCTTAAACAAGAGTCAGCGGCGGCTGAGGCGGTTTCAGTCATATCAGCTACAACTCTAACCCTGACACGGACAGTCAAAATTGGAACATCACGGGACTTAGCAGTCGAAGCTATAAGGTTCTAAGTAGCTTGGTTGGGGCTATATGAGAGCAAGAGTTACTAACTTGCGTCTTCGAAACAACTTTGGCAAATGCGTCCCTGAACATCATAAACTGAAAGACAGGATCTAATTGTCAGAAAATCTCAGGACCTAGCCGGCCTAGCGGTTAGAATAGGATTTCAGGGTATATTTGTGGTATACCAATTGAAGGCTAAGGGATTGCACTGGTACTTGTTCAGGCCGCTGTACAAGCCAATTTCACTCCGCAGTCCTAAGTGGCCAGTGGCCGACAAGGTTCGGCATGCCACGGTCCAAAGACACAGCAGCTACCACATGTTCGGAAATAACACAGCCCGAAGCCTGGGCCTAAACCTACTGAAACGGGCTCTGAAATCGATCGAGATGCCACCAACTGCTCTGCAAGTTCGATATCCAGAGGCTGGTCGCTCTCAGCCACCACCGCCTCAGGCTTTCCGGAGCCGCAATAGACTCACAGGCGATGCACGCCTTTTTCAAACTTTCTCCGAAACCCGGATACAAAACCTCAAACTGCCGCCCTTTAAGTTATCAAGGGCATATCTCATTCAGCGACCTACGCGCGACTGTCTACACGTGCCTGCCAGATAGGCCTGCCCCCTGACAGGCGGGCTATCTCTAAGCCTCAAATTTCGGCAAAATGCTGGCCCTGCTGAGGCCTTGTTAATTTCGTTTGGTTTGTGAGGGGACGATAAGGGAATCTTATGTTACTAATCATTCACATCGCCATACGAAAGGGACCGAACATCAAGAGCTTCTAATGGGAGGAGGCTTTCAGTCCTGCACCTGAAATCTGAAATCCGAATCGCAGGCATGGCTGCAACAAACACGGCTTAGGGTTCGTAGGGTTAGGGCGAACGTGCGATATGGCCAGCCGGAAACGTTATCCCGCAAACTCCTAAACCCTAAACCCCTGAAGCCCCTAAACCGCCCCTTAACCCCTGAGTCGCTTAAGCCCCAAACGCCTGAACCCCTAAACCCTAAACCCTTGAACTCCTAAATCCTAAACGCCTAAAGCCGGAACCTCTAAACCCTTGAACCCTTGTCAGCACGGACTGAGGTGCCGGCCAGCGCCCATGCAACCCTCACCCCTCTTAACCTTAAGCCCTTATAAACCCTAAACCCTCAGAGCAAGCCCCAAACCCTTTTCCCTAAACCCCTTGTTGCCACTGGGCTCACCCCCAAACCCTGAACCCTTAAACCCTAAAACCCTTAAGCCCCAAACCCTAAAACCCTAAACCCCAAATCCCCAAACCCTGAACCCTTAAACCCTAAAACCCTCAGAGCAAGTAGACCTTAACCGGCCGAGGAGCCCAGCGATCGGAGGCCCAAGGTGCGCGGCGCCTGAGGGAAGTTCTCGAACGTAGGGCTTTATAGGGGTTTAGGATTCGGTTTAGGGGCTTAGGGTTTATAGGGTTTACGAGTTAAGGGGTTCAAGGGTTTAGGGGTTCAGGCTTTATGCGTTTAGGGGTTTAAGGCTTATAGGGTTTACCGGTTTAGGGGTTTAGTTTAGGGGTTGAGGGTATTTCGGGTTTACGTATGCTTGGACCGGGGCGCCTTTAAACTGCTATATAACAGATCTGCAATAGGGTTCCATGATGTAGGGGCCCTAACAATTTGTATAGGGTTTTGGGCTACCGTGGAACATACTTAACATAAGAAGGAACCCGAGGGAGTAGTATTGGATTGAAGTCGGGCATTCGCGTCGCGGACGGCGCGGAGTGACGCACCTCGAGGGAACAGTACTGTACGAAAGCCTCAAGCCTAGAGCTCAAGGGCGCCTGGGCCTTCATCTCAAAAAAACTCCTAATGGCATGGAGTAATTATCGGACTCGTTCCTCATTAAATCAAGATCTCGTTTGAGGTACAGCTTGAGACCATGGCCACTACGCCATAGCTAAGTATAACCAGGAAGGACCCCCTTCCTGGCAAAAGCCCAGACATCCGAAAGCCTGGCAGACGCCTGGCCGCCACCCGTATCATCCTGGGCAGGGGGTTTGGATTCGAGACGAAATCCGAAAAAAATAGGAAACAAAGCCCGACATGGGCTTCCAACCTCAAGCCCAAGGGAGCCTTGCAGCGCTAGCATCTTGAAGATCTAGAACCCCGAAGATGTGCTAAGGTAATATAGGGGACTTAATTCTTAGGTGTTAGGGTTTCTTTAAAGGTTTCTCTAATGGTTACTCTATGTAAGGGTGTAATATAGCGGCCAGGAACTAGATTAAGGCTTTGGAGTATAATACACTGTAGCCATAACAAGGAGCTCTAAGGAACAGTCTAGGTAATGATTCGGGCTTCTAATTCCGGAGCTCTGCTTGGATGTTCATGGGACGTAGTTATTGAGTACGGTCTTGAATGAGCTTAAAATTGGCTATTTCTAAACATAGATACTTTGTTCATAACCCTAACTACCAAGTCCCATCTTAAGCGGCCCCCTCAAGGGAAGAAATAAACACCGGTCTGTAGAAAGCCACCGCCTTGTTTAAAGGATCATGGGATTTAGTAGTTATTACACGGCTAACCAATAGTTTCTTATAGCCCTGATTAGGTACATACATCCTTGCTTGCTACGGCCCATGACCCTCCATGTAAGGATTCGCATACTGTGCAAACTTAAACTATGGGTCGACTTGTAGTATACACAGAAGGTTTAGGGCTCAAGGGTCTGCATTATGCTTTCTACTCCCCTTAGAAGGTGGGCAGCAAAAAACAATACATATGCATGTGTGTATATTATATGTATATATATATATATATCGCTCTCTCTCTCTCTCTCTCTCTCGCTCTGTCTCTCTCTCTCTCTCTCTATCGGACATCCCTCTGGAAGACACCACAACCTAACACAGAACAAACAACAAACACAAACAAGAGCCGTTTCAGTCAGGGGCCCTTCGAAAGCGTGCATTAAGATTCGGATCGAGGGTCTTCAGGGCTTCTGGTTTAGGATATTCTGTTTCGGGATTTAAGGGTTTGAGGTTTTCGGGCTTTGCGGGGTTTCGGGTAAGACGACC